TGGTAATGATGGAAGGGAAAGAAAAGGAGGAGGAAGGAGGAGAAGCTGATGGTGGAATTACTGAAAGAAAGAAAAGGAAAGGGGAAAATTAAGGAGAGAGAGAGTGAGAGAGAGAGAGAGAGAGAGTGTTCGATTTCAACTGTAATAAATTCGCAATTCCAAAACTGGTGTTCGTACAGGAGGAAGCTGTAGAACGTCGGTACTTGCTCAAGCTCTCCTTGTGTTATCCCACTGTCACCACGTAAACAGATGACGTCATGATTTAGTAAGGTTAATTTTCTACGTTTCTTACCAGCCGAGTTAAAATGATTCTCCCAAAGATGCTAACCTAACCTAACCTAACCTAACCTAGCCTAACCTAACCTAACCTAACCTAACCTAACCTAGCCTAACCTAACCTAACCTACCCATCCAGGTAACTTTAGGGTGTTTAATTATCAAGTGAAATAGCTGAGGGCTAATTTTTATGTAATCCTAGTGTCAATATTCTTAAAGACGACGTAACGAGATGCTCTGTCTTAACGAGTCATCGTCAATTTTATTATAATTGACATTGAAACTTTTGTTTTCAGGAGACATGGCCAGGTAAAGAGTAAGTTAATAAACCCTGGCAGTTGAAGCACCTAAAACTAAGACCAAGTGAACGGTGCTTAATAAACCCTGGCAGATGAAGCACCTAAAACTATGACCAAGTGAACGGTGCTTAATAAACCCTAGCAGTTGAAGCACCTAAAACTAAGACCTAGTGAACGGTGCTTAATAAACCCTGGCAGTTGAAGCACCTAAAACTAAGACCTAGTGAACGGTGCTTAATAAACCCTGGCAGTAGTAATATTCCAAACTAAGAACTAGTAAAAATAAAGTAGAAATTTAACTAAGACTGTATCAAACTGGTGCGTCTTCTTGTTGCCGGGCAAAGGGGGAATTTGAACGTGTGAAGTTTTGTGGTAGTCGTCAAGTTGGTGGAGGGAGGTGAACCGGAAGTTAATAAAGGTTTAGGCACGTAATGTGTGCTCTATCTGGCTGCCATTGTCAACATAACCCATGACGACCTCTCTCATTACCTGCTTGTTCACGCTGTCACCAAATCATGGGTCCTGTACACCTTCCTACCTCACATGTACGGGCTCGTATAATGTACCTGAACCTGCGTCCAGTGTTGGTCAAGTATGGTCTTTAATAAGCTCACATTCGGCGCCGTCACAGCACTCTAGCAAGGTATTCCCCCAAAATACTACTCTTACTCCAATCTAGTTTGCACTGACAATTTTCTGTACATTTGGCTTTTTTAACCTGAGGTTACGACCTCTAGTGGGGCGGGCATCTGCTAGCTCCTGTTATGAACACTTGACTGAATTATGTCCTTTGAAATACCTAAAAGTATAAACAACTATTAAATCACTCCTTGCCGTTCAGTGTATAAATTAGGTACTGTAAGTGAGAAGTCTGAATCGCCCAAGTTTGGTAAGCGTCTTTCGACGGTCTCATTCAATCTGCAGTGCTTAGCGTACAGTACAGTACAATACAGTACAGTACAGTATATCGGGGACAAGACTCACGGTACTGCAGGAGGAGGAGCACCACACTTAAGGACAGACCATCTGTGAAAGATCTTCTCTATAAGCTAACACTCACCTACGTTCAAAAACACACGTGGGCAGTTTTATTCAACCACAGGTAATGCCGCTGTTCACGTGGTGCTGCCGTCCACAGGTGGTGCTGCCGTCCACAGGTGGTGATACCGTCACAGGTGGTGATACCATCCACAGATGGTGCTGCCGTCAGGTGGTGCTGCCGTACAGATGGTGCTGCCGTCCACAGGTGGTGCTGCTGTCCACAGATGGTGCTGCCGTCCACAAGTGGTGCTGCCGTCCACAGGTGGTGATGCCGTCCACAGATGGTGCTGCCGTCACGATGGTGCTGCCATCCACAGGTAATGCTGCCGTCCACAGGTGGTGCTGCCGTCCACAGGTGGTGCTGCCGTCCACAGATGGTGCTGCCGTCCACAAGTGGTGCTGCCATCACAGGTGGTGCTGCCGTCCACAGATGGTGCTGCCGTCCACAGATGGTGGTGCCATCCACAGTAGTGCTGCCGTCCACAGGTGGTGCTGCGTCTGATGTGCTGCCGTCCCAAGTGGTGCTGCTGTCCACAGGTGGTGCTGCCGTCCCAAGTGGTGCTGCCGTTCACACGTGGTGCTGCCATCCACAGGTGGTGCTGCCGTCCACAGGTGGTGCTGCGTCCACAGGTGGTGCTACCGTCCACAGGTGGTGCTGCAGTCCACAGGTGGTGCTGCCGTCCACAGATGGTGCCGTCCACAGATGGTGCTGCCGTCCACAGGTGGTGCTGCCGTCCACAGGTGGTGCTGCCGTCCACAGGTGGTGCTGCCGTCCACAGATGGTGCTGCAATACAAGTGGTGCTGCCATCCAGGTGGTGCTGCCGTCCACAGATGGTGCTGCCGTCCACAGATGGTGGTGCCATCACAGGTAGTCTGCCGTCCACAGGTGGTGCTGCCGTCTACAGGTGGTGCTGCCGTCCACTAGTGGTGCTGCTGTCACAGGTGGTGCTGCCGTCCACAAGTGGTGCTGCCGTTCACACGTGGTGCTGCCATCCACAGGTGGTGCTGCGTCCACAGGTGGTGCTGCCGTCCACAGGTGGTGCTACCGTCCCACAGGTGGTGCTGCGTACAGGTGTGCTGCCGTCCACAGATGGTGCTGCCGTCCACAGGTGGTGCTGCCGTCCACAGGTGGTGCTGCCGTCCACAGGTGGTGCTGCCGTCCACAGGTGGTGCTGCCGCAAGTGCTGCGTCACGGTGGTGCTGCCTACAAAAGTGGTGCTGCGTCCACAAGTGGTGCTGCCGTCCAAGTGATACTAACGTCCACAGGTGCTGCCGTCCACAGGTGGTGCTCGTCCACAGGTGGTGCCCCGTCAAATGGTGCTGCCGTCAGGTGGTGCTGCCGTACCAAGTGGTGTTGCCGTCACAAGTGGTGCACCGTCCACGGTGGTACTGCCGTCCACAGGTGGTGCTGCCGTCCACAGGTGGTGCTGCGTCCACAGGTGGTGCTGCGTCAGTGGTGCTGTCGTCCACAGGTGGTGCTGCCGTCCACAGGTGGTGCTGCCGTCCACAGGTGGTGCTGCCGTCCACAAGTGGTGCTGTCGTCCACAAGTGGTGCTGCCGTCCACAAGTGGTGCTGCCGTCGGTGGTGCTGCCGTCCCAAGTGGTGCTGCGTCTACAGGTGCTGCCGTCCACAAGTGGTGCTGCCATCCACAGGTGGTGCTGCCGTCCACAGATGGTGCTGCCGTCCACAGATGGTGGTGCCATCCACAGAGTAGTGCTGCCGTCCACAGGTGGTGCTGCCGTCTACAGGTGGTGCTGCGTCCACTAGTGGTGCTGCTGTCACAGGTGGTGCTGCCGTCCACAAGTGGTGCTGCCGTTCACACGTGGTGCTGCCATCCACAGGTGGTGCTGCCGTCCACAGGTGGTGCTGCCGTCCACAGGTGGTGCTACCTCCACAGGTGGTGCTGCCGTCCACAGGTGGTGCTGCCGTCCACAGATGGTGCTGCCGTCCACAGATGGTGCTGCCGTCCACAGGTGGTGCTGCCGTCCACAGGTGGTGCTGCCGTCCACAGGTGGTGCTGCCGTCCACAGGTGGTGCTGCCGTACAGGTGGTGCTGCCGTCCACAGGTGGTGCTGCGTCACAAAGTGGTGCTGCCAGTACAAGTGGTGCTGCCGTCCACAAGTGATACTAACGTCCACAGGTGGTGCTGCCGTCCACAGGTGGTGCTGCCGTCCACAGGTGGTGCTGCTCCAAGTGGTGCTGCCGTCCACAGGTGGTGCTGCCGTACACAAGTGGTGTTGCCGTCCACAGGTGGTGCGCCGTCCCAATGTGCCGTCCACAGTGGTGCTGCCGTCCACACCGGTGGTCTGCCGTCCGGTGGTGCTGCCGTCCACAGGTGGTGCTGCCGTCCACAGTGGTGCTGTCGTCCACAGGTGGTGCTGCCGTCCACAGGTGGTGCTGCCGTCCACAGGTGGTGCTGCCGTCCAAAGTGGTGCTGCCGTCAAAGTGGTGCTGCCGTCCACAAGTGGTGCTGCCGTCACAAGTGGTGCTGCCGTCCACAAGTGGTGCTGCCGTCCACAGGTGGTGCTGCCGTCCACAAGTGGTGCTGCCGTCCCAAAGGTGGTGCTGCCGTCCACAAGTGGTGCTGCCGTCACAGATGGTGCTGCCGTCCACAGGTGGTGCTGCCGTCCACAGGTGGTGATACCGTCCACAGGTGGTGCTGCCGTCCACGATGGTGCCGCCCACAGGTGTCTCCGGCCATGCTGGTCTCCCTGTGATACCGTCCACAGGTGGTGCTACAGTCCATAGGTGGTGCTGCCGTCCACAAAGTGGTGCTTCCGTCTACAAGTGGTGCTGCCGTCCACAGATGGTGCTGCCGTCCACAGGTGGTGCTGCCGTCCACAGGTGGTGCTGCCGTCCACAGGTGGTGCTGCCGTCCACAGGTGGTGCTGCCGTCCACAGGTGGTGCTGCCGTCCACAGGTGGTGCTGCTGTCCACAGGTGGTGCTGCCGTCCACAGGTGGTGCTGCCGTCCATAGGTGGTGCTGCCGTACAAAAGTGGTGCTGCCGTCCACAAAGTGGTGTTGCCGTCCACTGGTGGTACTGCAATCCACAGGTGGTGCTGCCGTCACAAGTGGTGCTGCGTCCACAGGCGCCCTGGTTGCTGCCGTCCACAGGTGGTGCTGCGTCCACAGGTGGTGCTGCGTCACAGGTGGTGTTGCGTCCACAGGTGGTGCTCCACAGATGGTGCTGCAGTCCACAGGTGTGCTACCGTCACAAGTGGTGCTGCCGTCACAAGTGGTGCTGTCGCAGCCGTCCGCAGGTAGTGCTGCCGTCCACAGGTGGTGCTGCCGTCCACGGTGTGCTGCCGTCAAGTGGTGCTGCCATCCACAGGTGGTGCTGCCGTCCACAGGTGGTGCTGCCATCCACAACTGGTGCTGCCGTCACAAGTGGTGCGCGTCCACACGTGGTGCTGCCGTCCACAAATTGTGCTGCCGTCCACAGGTGGTGCTGCCGTCCACACGTGGTGCTGCCATCACAGCTGGTGCTGCCGTCACAAGTGGTGCTGCCGTCCACAAGTGGTGCTGCCGTCCACAGATGGTGCTGCCGTCCACAGGTGGTGCTGCCATCCACAGGTGGTGCTGCCGTACACAAGTGGTGCTGCCGTCCACGGGTGGTGCTGCCGTGCAAGTGGTGCTGCCGTCCACAAGTGGTGCTGCGTCCACAGGTGGTGCTGCCGTCCACAGGTGGTGCTGCCGTCCACAGGTGGTGCTGCCGTCCACGGGTGCTGCCGTACAAAGTGGTGCTGCCGTCCACAGTGGTGCTGCCTCCAATGCGCTGCCGTCCACAAGTGGTGCTGCCGTCCACAGGTGGTGCTGCCATCCACAGGTGGTGCTGCCGTCCAAGGTGGTGTTGCCGTCACAGGTGGTGCTGCCGTCGTCCACAGTGGTGCCCTCCACGTCCACAAGTGGTGCTGCCGTCCACAGGTGGTGCTGCCGTCCACAGGTGCTCCGTCCACAGGTGGTGCTGCCGTCCACAGGTGGTGCTACCGTCCACGGTGGTTGCCATCCACAGGTGGTGCTGCCAATCACAGGTGGTGCTGCATCCCAGTGTCATCACAACTTGCTGCATACAAGTGGTGCTGCCGTCCACAGGTGGTGCTGCCGTACCACAAGTGGTGCTGCCGTCCCGCAGGTGGTGCTGCCGTGCACAAGTGGTGCTGCGTCCACAGGTGGTGCTGCCGTACACAAGTGGTGCTGCCGTCCACAGGTGGTGCTGCCGTGCACAAGTGGTGCTGCCGTCCACAAGTGGTGCTGCCGATCACAAGTGTTGCTGCAGTCCACAGGTGGTGCTGCGTCCACAGGTGGTGCTGCCGTACACAAGTGGTGCACTGTCCACAGGTGGCTGCCGTCCCCAAGTGGTGCTGCCGTCCACAAGTGGTGCTGCCATCCACAAGTGGTGCTGCTGAATCCAAGGTCCGTCTGGTGGTGCTGCCGTCCACAGGTGGTGCTGCCGTCCACAGGTGGTGCTGCCGTCCACAGGTGGTACTGCTGTCCACGGTGCTGCCGTCCCAGGTGTACTGCTGTCACAGGTGGTGCCCGTCCACAGGTGGTACTGCTGTCCACAGGTGGTGCTGCCGTCCACAGGTGGTACTGCTGTCCACAGGTGGTGCTGCATCCAGGTGGTGCTCCGTCCACAAGTGGCGCTACCAACTACATGTGGTACTCGACCCACCACCGTCATAACACAGGTTTAACATCATACCTGTATCTCGAAACCATGACCTGGCGAAAAAATTGTGTCCTCTGACCTGTTAATGACCAGACCTGAACCCCGTGACTCACACATGGACTCTGACAATGCTTTGGTGTTCCTTGGGTGGGGGGAGGTTGTCACATACCTCAGGGTGATACATCAAATGGTGAAAATTGGCCGAAATTAATTGAATGTTGGACGTCAAGAGGTCGACTGATACGTGAGGTGTCTTGTGTTCTCACTCTCTCTCTAAACGCTAAACACACACGGTTTCCCTTTCCCATGTCCCACCCCCACCCCCTTCCCCACACACAGAGTTTCTTTCTCCCCCTCTTCTCTCTTTTCCCCATCTCTCTTATTTTCTCCTCCTCTCTCTCTCTCTCTCTCTCTTTCTCTCTCTGCTTCCTCCCACTCTCTCTTCCACTGCAACAATTAAAGGTGCCACTCCTCCGCCCCAGAAAATAATAAGAGTTGTATACATTCTTTGATCCTTCCTCACTCTCATATTGGGTGTATGAAAGGCAATAGAAACACCAGAGTAAGAGGAGGAGGAGGAGGATGAACAATGAGGAACGAACGCGAGATAAACGTGGAAAGTAAGAAGGAATTGCTAAGACAGTAAGGAGAAATATTTACAGATTTGCGTCATATTTTCAACCTATACAGACGTTGTTTATGTATAATTAAGTTCAAGGATTTCTCTTTCTCACTTTCTTTCTCTTACACTTTATATTATTACTGAAAGGAGAATATATATACTGTCTATCTTATACTAATCACTCTAAAATAAAATACAAAAACACGAAAAACACGAAAGACGACCACAAGAAAAAATACACTACCACGAGTGAAATGCAACGAACACTTTGTAATATCGTGGTATATTTTATTCTGTTTCTTTTCTTTCTTCTGTGATTTCGTTTTTAATCTTAACAATTATACTTGCAGATACTTGGCCATTTTTTTTCTTTTCTTTGCATACTTGGCCAGCACACGCCCGCTGCTACACCACTGTACCGCTGGTTACCCCCAACCTCTCCTCCCTCTCTCTCTCTCTCGCCCGCCCAACACAGCTACCAGGTTCTTACCACCATCGTATAATAATAATAATAATAATAATAATAATAATAATAATAATAATAATAATAATAATAATAATAATAATAATAATAATAACATCTACTCTCC